AATGGCCCAATTCTATTTTAAGCTTTCAGAAGTTCTCTCCAATTTCTAATGGCAGGGCATGCAAATGGTGTCACAGCAAACACCAGGCAACCAGCAGATTACATGCTTTCTGAGTGAGAAAATCAATGACATGATTTACTGAGTATTGTGCTCAGTTCTATTTATGACATCTCAGGAAGAAATGCTGCATAAAGCAGCCACAAAAATATTATAATATGGAAAGCTTTTCATCCCTTCAGTGAAACAAAAAGATTAGGATAGTTTAGTTCAGAATTGAGACAAATAAAATAATGTAATAGTATATTAAATGATCCGTCACATGAAGACAGACTGGGTGTTCCCATTTAGTGTCTATCTCAAAAAAAATAAAAAAGCAATAAACTCAGTGCAGCATATTTACATCTCCAAAAAGAAAATTATTCCACACAGAACACTTCCTGAAACGAGCTGGCACTGAGATCAAGGGGTCAATGGGTTCAGAGGAACAACCAGATATTTATACATGGGATGAGCCACTGAGAGCCCTATGAGGTGGGGTCAACCCAAAGCTCCAGTTTGAGTGTTTAAAAGCAGCATGAAGCATTTCAGTGGAGAAGAGGATTCACTCATTACCAGATTGTTCCTGTGCTGGCCCTTTGGAGAAGTCTGGGCAGGGTGAAGGCACTGCTGGAGCCTGAGCCTGGCTGCTCAACCTCTCACCAGCTGCTGCTCTTGACTTTCAGTGGCTTTAGTTTGATCCAGCAGAACCCCCGGTGCAGGAACACTGATATCCCATCACCTCCCACAGGTAAGGTCAGGCCTTCCTCTCCTCCTGCCACACTCTCACTCTTGTCCCAGCCTTGTAACTCAGTCCTGGACCATCCCTTGTCTTCATTTCTACCTTTGTGACTTCATGTTTGATATTGGGCTGGGGCCTCAGGCTGTCAGGTACCTGGGCCAAGGGACTGTGGCACACCAACAGCTCCTGCAGGCATCTGCACAAATCCACAGCAATGCCCAGCTCAGGCAGACACAATTAGCAAGGTAAGGAAGCCAGGGGGAAAGAGATTACTAAAGACTTGTACTGTTTGAAGCTTGTCACACTACAGGATAGAAAAACCAGGGTAAGGTTACAGAGGAATGATAGAAGAGGGATTTTTCTCAAAAAATAACCTAATCAATTCAACTTTTGAAGACACATGCATTACTAGTTTATGGTGGAAAATATAAATAAAAATAAGCCCTATACTGCTATCTCATTAACTGTGTGGTAGAGCAATGCCTGGAAAGGGCCTGAATCTCTGTAAAAACTCCTCCAGTTTCCCATTCCAACCAGCAACCATCTCCTCCCACTGCCATCTGCTTGGTGCACTCATTTTGCCTCATTCCTCACATCTATGATCAAAGACAGACATTCTAATTTGAGGGCCTCTTTGATAATCTTGAAAAACTAGCTACAGGTAAATTTTTGACCATCAAAGCTGGTTCCAGCAGCTTACTCTCACTCAGGCTACTCTTCTAATTAGGGTGTCATTTATTCATCCCAATAAGCTACTTCACCAGGCAAGATGAATGTAAGAAATTTTAATCTGCAGTTGTAAGCCAGAGCAATGAAATGAGTGATGAGCTCCAAGTCAAAAGGTTAAAGATATTAATGTTTACCAGTGTTGAAGTTTACAACAGATAATTTCTTTGCTTATTCTACTTATGCTTTGCCTAAAATCCATCCCCATAAAATGGCAAGCCACCACTGATAAGAATGTTATTAGGGATAAAAAGCACCAGCATAGATGAAATTCAGAAAAGGAATTAGGAGGCAGTGGCATTGGATGCTTTTAGCATACATAGTAAGAATTGATTTTTTCCTTATTCTCATGATTAAGTGTTGGGCCTGCCAGCCCACAACAGCCCAGTCAGTGTTCCAGGCACATCGTGGGGGCTCTGTGCAGCCCCTTCCCTTCATGGGGACAGAAAAGGACCAGCAGCCAAACCTAGGGCATCTCACAGTCAGTAATCAGCTTTTTAGGCTACCAAAAGAGACAAGATGTAGGGCAAGAAAAAAACCCAACAAAACCTCAATAATTTATTTTAGTTCCCAAAATCTGATTGCATACTTTAAAATAATCCACACATGGAAAACTATGCAGTGAAGGCATCATTAAATATAATCAAGGACAGAATCAGAAAGGAAATGCAACAGAAATCCTGTGTCAGTTTTTATCTTTATAGTCAATGACTGGTTTTTGCAGCTGGGGAATTTGCTCAATTTACTCCATGAGAGAAGAAATACCCTGCATTTTCACAGACAGATGTTTAAACCTATCAAGTGTATAAACCACTGTAATTTTTAGCCGGTGCTGTAAGAGGAGCAGGGGGAAGCAGGGATCACTTGCTGCTGCAGGCAGGAAAATCCTGCCCTCGTTGGCCGTGTGCTCTGGGGCAGCAGGAGCAGCCAGCTGCATCCGGCCACCTAAAAACCAGAGTGGCTTATCACAGAGCCCAGGGCTGAGCCCAGCCAGGCTGGCCCACACCCCTGCTAATTAAGAGGCTGCTAATCATACCTGGGAATGCCGAGCTCGCAGCCCCGCCAGCGCTCACTCCTGGGCCGGGACACAGCAGGAAACAACAAAGCTGAACAGGCAAACGAGCTCTAGCAAAGGAAAGAGAAAGAAAATCACCACCAACATTCAATTCTCTTTCTTTAGCTCTTCTTTACAGATAGAAATGTTTTCCTAAAGGAGCTGATTGCCAAACATAAATTTTGCTACTTGTGCTTGACAGAATCCTGAGAATGCAAAGCTTTTTGTAGCCAGAAAAAACACAATGAGAATTTTCTGCTCTTGTACTGCTGAGATGACTCAATACCAGTCCACAGGGGTCTGGAGGTGAAAGCAGAACCACACTCATCTGAATTCCTTGCCTTTCAAAGAGGTTTTTACGACAGAACACTTTATTAGCAAACAGGGCTGCTACAAGCCCACACCAGGAACCACACCAAGCCCAGGGCAATTACCTTCAGTCACTGCCATTCCGAGGGAAATGGGAAAGGCTGCTATTACCTGCTCTCTTGGAGGGTCTGGAAGGAGGTTTATTCCTGCCATGAGCAACACCGTGGCATTTGGAAGTAAATTGTTTATAACAAGAACCAGTCTGAGACAACAGCCAGGGCAGCAGCATCAAGGTGCACAGCACCAGCAAAACTCTGCCCACTGCTCCCTGCTGAGCTCCCAGGGACTGGCCAGGAGACACCAGCACGTTCCCCTGCATGAGAGATGGCTCAGGAACACAGCTCAGGCTCCTGCTGCTGCTTCCCCACTGCTCTGCACGCCGAGGGAAGTTCAGGCCAGCCCCCCCAGGATGGTCACAGAGGAGACCCCAGGCTCTCTGCAGTGCTTCACCTCGCAGTTCATACAGAAAAAAAAGAGCCATGGCAGATTGCTGGGTTCTGGGCTCAACCTTGGCTTAATTAGTGGTGGCGGCATATGTTCTGTGCTGGTTACATAAACAGGGATGGGATCCCAGCCGGTGGCCAAGGGTTGCCTTGGTAACTGTGACAGCCATCAGCGCTGCCTTACTCATCGCTTTTGCCCCCCTACTTCAGCAGCACTTCTGGCTCTACTTTGCTATTTTCAAACACAAATATGAGCAAACGGAGCTCTCTAGTCTACTCTGGAATGGAAACCCAAACCTTCAACCACCAGTGCCATTTGTGAACTGTTAGCAGCAACCTCGGGCTGTTCTCCACAGACAGCCCAGTGTTTCTGGAGCTTCACACTGGGACAAACACAGCACGGCAAAGCCTCGCAGTCCTGCAGCACATCCCTCCGCACCTGGAGTCTGTGCACTGTCCTTTGCAGTCCAGACTGCCAGGCAGAACTCCTGGTAATGATGTGCTCATACCTTCCACAAGCTTTTGAGCAGCTTCACTTCTTCCAGTACAATCAGACAAGCCTGGCCTAAAATCTTTTATTCCCAGTTTACAGACGTACATAATAAATAAAATGTATTTCCTCCATCTTTTTTATTCCAGTATAGCCAGTGCATTCTGCTTTCAAATCTCTCCCTGGTTACATTTTCTTTCAGACTGCTCATAAAAAACCCTGACTAATTTTAGGATAAAGATTAATACAGAGTATCCTGCTCAATAATAGCCTCCTACCTACAACCAGTTTCAGACCTGTCATCTACAGCCAGGCTTAACCCACAGAACATCCACTCCATTTTCACCGTTTTGGTTTCTTGGTAACAACATAGAAAAATGAAATTAAAACATACTAGACTAAAAGTTAATTTAGCCTTTTGTACACTTGTTATCCAAGTTATCTATTTATACCTCACTAAAATCCAGCATCTCTAAAGATGATATACAGAGGCACAAGGAAGACAGGAAACATGGTTTTTCAAATACAGTGAATTTGTGTTTTATTTTAAAGCTGTTTTAAAAAGCAAGCCTTTTGTTTGCAATAGTATCCAGCAGTTATTTGACAGAAAAGCCAGTCTCAGTAATCTGAATAAAGATTAAATGCTAAATGTTTTGGATTTCAATGATATGCAGAAATACTTCTTGGCATAACCAGAAAATCAGTCACTACTAACTTCACCTTCTATGACTGTTTCAAGTACAAATCATTTCTCATCTGACAATCACTCAGCTTTTAAAGTCAGCTGTTTTATAAAGCCTTTTGTTGAAAGCTGGTATGTGAACAGGGATCCTAAAGCCTTAATTTTGAGAGAAATTGCAGTATGTCAAACTCAATAAAGGCAGAAGACTTGTTTGGATGCCAGAATGCTGTATGTAAAAAAAAAAAAAAAATTAAAAAATCGAAACTGGTGAAGTTCAATAATAGGAGATTCATCAGCTGCCAGGATGTAGGATTGGCCTCTTGGTTGCTTCATAGAGCAGAGAAACTGAAGCAGATCTGCTCTGTGCTGTGCAGGTCTTCAAAGTACATGCTTGCTATGTAAAAATACTTGTTTCTCCCTTCTTTCTTTACAGAGCAAAGGAAATTTCCTTACTTCCTTATGGTGCTGCAGGAACAGGAGAAAAGTGGAGAGACAGTGAGGAGCAGCTCTGCACAGCTTCTGTTCACCTGTGGCTGTGCCAAGGTTTTATGTGGGTCCCAAAGGAGCCCCTGCCCTGGACAGGACACAGGTGCCCAGGCAGCCCCACTCCCTGCACTGCTGCTCCAGCCCAGAGCTCTTCCAAGGCTCACATAATCCAACAAGCTTAACAAAAGGATGGGCTCATAATGCTAATGAGCTTTGTGGAGTCAGGAGAAAGACTGGAGCCCCTATCTCTGATGTTAAATGTGTTCTCTCCACATAAAGACCGGTACATTAACCATGTCCTATTTTCCCATTTTTCTTTTCAGGGAGCCTGGATGGATTGTAATGCACATGGATAGACTGAAATGCTCAGCAGATGATTTTGCTTAAATCTCAAGTAAGACAAATGTGATGAGATCTTCAATCACTGCCCTGGGATGTGTGGGCGATGTATTACATTTTACAAGGAACAGCATTTGGAAAAATTCCGTTTTCACTCCTCAGCCACTGTACTCTTTGAACTACTTGCTAAACTTGGAGAAAGAAGAAGGGGAAAGGGCAGAGGGACTTCACAGAGAGGATGAGATGGCTGCCTGCTGATTAATGCCTGAGCTGAAGGAGGAGCAGGCAGGTCCTCACCCCTCCAGGGCAGCATGGGGTGTCTGCAGTCACTGGGTTCAGTAGACACCAAGCTCTAGCAGCAGCTTCTCCACCTGAGTCAAGGGGTTTGTCTCATAGATTTCAGTTTGAGGCTCTGTAGAAGTAATAAAATAAATTCTGCCTCACATCTCCACAAACCTTTAATATGCCAGGAACAAATAAAAATTTCTAAAAGTCCCTGGAACCTTACCAGTTGCTATGCCTATGCATTCCCTGGTGCACACTTCATTTTTACTAAAAATTCAGTGCAAAGAAATAAACTAGGAAGAGCTGTCATACTAATTTTTTTTTGAAGTCCAATTTCAGTCTTCCCTATGACAAATGTGACTTGAAAACTCTTGTAGCTATTATTGTCCAAGGACTACAGGTTTTTTAATCTGTTTGGGTGGATTTGCTGAGCTGCTCCACACCAATGTGGACAATACCTTTGTTTCCTTGTAGATGCAAACATGGGAGTGTTTTCCCAAGATCCTGCATTATGCCTGCTGCTAAAACACACTCCAGGAGTTCTCAGGTGAGTACATACTTTTCTTACAGAGGTAACCAAGTCTGACTCTGACATGCATCAGATTCAAACGTTTTGCACAAGTAAAGCACAACTGAGAGCATTATTGTCTTTGAAAATTGTGATTTCTCTTGATAAATGTAACACCACAAGTGTACAGCTTTAATTTAAATGTAAACTAAACTGTTTGTTGATAGTCTCCTTCAATTGTCCTTTGCTAATTATGAAAATAATTCTAATAATTACTGTGCCCAAAACATTTGGGAAGGAGATCAAAATCACTATCTGAAAATTAAGTACAGTAGTAGTTAAGGGGTTAAAGTCACATAAATGGTGCCTTCTTTAAAAATACACCTCTATAGTTTGCATCCTGCTGTAGCAGAGAAGTACAAATTAGACATACTTATAAACACACACACAAAAGGGAAGAAATCACAAGTATTAGATCTGTTGAGATATTCTGGTATCTCCAGATTGAGATGTACAGAAGACAACACAAGCAGAAAGCTAAAGGAAGTGTCACCTTAGATAAAAAGAGACTTAAAACTGAAAAAATATGATTACAAAAAGGAAATATTATACTATTACTGAATTCCAGGAAGAATTACCTTAGCCAGCTTATCCAGTGAAAGATGTTAAACTCGAGATCATGTACAGCCCATCCCATAGAAAGCAGCCAGTCAGAACCTACTGGGGAGGATGTGTAACACAGCCAGAGCTGCTGGACACCAGCAGGAGCAGATCCTGGGCACCACAGGGCTCTGCCCACAGCCCTGCCTCTGGGGATGCTTCCCACTCTGCCCTCGAGTGGGTGTGCTGGACCAGCCCCAGCCCTGGGGGCATTTCACCAGTGTCACACAGACACACAGTGTGCCAAGTTCCAACAGGTCACTTCCAACCCACATCATGCACTCCAGCTTTTAAAAAACACTGCAAGTCTTCAATTCTTGCAGTAACCTTGTGGACATGAGAACGTGCAATTTATGGCAATTATTTTATAAGGGAGAGGGGGAGAGGTTATAATAGGATTATGAGCAAGGAACTTCCAAACCCAGTTCTAAAATTATCTTCAGCTTTAACAAATCACAACTCTAACCCCTTCTCCCTCTTCCTTATTCCTAAAGCCTTTCTTCTTTCTCTTCTTGTGCTTAATCTGATCTAAATTCTTTGAGGATGTCAAGGGGATAAATCTGCTATTAAGAGCTACTAGTTTCCATTTGCTTTCTAGAAGTGGGTGTGTGACAACACTCTGAGGCATTACACAGGCAATTAGGTATGCACAGGATGCCCTGCTCCAGAGAGACAATATGCAGAGAAGTGGAGGCTAAAACACTTCTGCATTAACAGGAGGACCCTCCAAATGCTTTGCAGAGTGTGGTCCAGGGCCACTCAACTGTCCCCCAGTGTCACTATTCCAAGCAGAAGACATTTAACTCTGTTCCTTCTGAGACCAAAGTATCAACACAGGAATCAGCTATTTATCCAATGCCAGTAACAAGATTTCTACCTAGCAATTTTCTGCAACTTAAATGAAAATGATACATGAAAAATGTGTTCTTATAAGATATTAAACACAAGCCAAGTGCTTTAAGAGAAAAGCAGGAAACACCCCAATGATCTCTGTTTTGTCATCATCAATGACTGCAGCCCTGAGGAGCCTCCAGCTCCCGCCAACCCAGTAGCAAATAAGGACTCAGTGCAGCTTCGAAGAAAGCATGGTACTTTCTTATGTGCATTCAGAAAGAGACAGCCATGAAGCATTGCCTCGCTAAATGTTATAAAAGTTCTTATAAATATTCATGTGCAGCATTTGTACTCTGAGTATTTAATCATTTCTTTACAAGAAAGGAACAGGGAGAGAAGGGAGAGGAAGAAATGACTGTTTCTTCAGTTCCAAAGAGATCAAGGTAACACAAGAGGCAAACTTATGCACAGGTGATCTATAAATTAGTCAGCACCAAACCCAGAAACCTACAAAAAAAGAATTTTTTCAGGTCGGTTTTCTTTTTTCATTACATCTGAAGTTACACAATAGTTTGCAGGTATTAACCTAATGATTTCTTTGATCGTTTTGAATTACTTGCATTTTGATCCTTTGAATTTTTACATTATTGGTTTTTAAAAAACAAGCCTGATCTGTTGCTTCTGACATTTAAGTGAAGACAGACTCAGCTGGCTGCACTCTGCACTCCAAAGCCCATTGTCCCAGGTAAACCCAAGAGCAGAGCAGCAGGCAGGGAGGGCTGGAGAGGCTTTGTGCCACTGCACACTCCATCCATCCATCCATCCATCCATCCATCCCCTCACAGTTGGCAGCTCCAGCAGCAGGGCTGAGAGCCCTTCAGCATCCCGTGCCAGCACTGCCTGATGAGCTCTGTCTGTGGCACACAGCCCTGCATCAACCCTCTGAGCCCTAAAGTTTATCAATACTGCTGAGAATTAATATAGATTTCTGTAACACATGCTGACAATACAAAAGCCTCTTCACAAGTGGCTTGTGCACAAAAGAAAAGAGATATTGCAAAACAGCTTTGACATCAAATTATAAACCTAATAGAAAAGCAAAGAGATGTGGAGCAATAACACCTGAAGTGCTCAGAAAACACCCAGCAGTGCCTGGCTGTGGTGTGGCCTCCAAGCCAGACCCAGAAAGCCTTGCACACTTTTCCCTGTCCTTCCACACTGGGAACAGCTGACACGTGTGACACTGAGGCTGTGGGTAGCAGTGCCTTGCACACACCACACTCTGCAAGCACCTCCCCAGCCAGGATGCTGCAGTTTAGTGATAAAAGAACAATCTAAGATGTTTGTTACTGCAGGCTCAGTGCTGACTGAACAGGCTGGGACAGCAGCAATAACAGTGGAAGGAGTTTATTGTTGTGGTGCTTCTGGTTCCCTGCTGGATCAGCCAGGGCAGATTCCTGCCAGCTGTACCTGTCTCTGCTCTCAAGTGTATTGGACAAGTCTGTGGAGTCACTCCAGGCCCATGCCATGTTTAGAATTACAAAGCAAAATGAAAAGTGGTGCTGCCTTTTGCTTCCCTCAGGAAAACTGCCTCTTGCAAATGGTTTTATCATTTTCATTATATCCTGTTTGATTTGCTTTACCATCTTGACTGGAACAATAGCTAAGACATAATAGAAAAAGATTTTTCCACAGGCTGGTTCTAATTACATTAAATCTCAAGTGAGATAGGACATTTAAATAAGAAACAACAACTGCAGAGTCTGAGATAATGACATACCGAGATACCAGGCTTTTTGAGAGTGCCATTAAAATGATGCATGAAGCATTACAGCTACTCCAATTGGGTTTCAACACAAAAGCCATTCCTTCTGTGGCACAGTGCTGCAGAGAGAGGTCAGCACTTCCTGCACTCAATGTGCTACTCAACAATTAGGAACCATTATCCCTTATGCTGAAGTTGCAATGTAGACACAGGCTTAAACTTCTGGATGAAGTGAGGCATTTTGGAATGCAGGGTCCCTGGGTTGAATCACCTCCTGAACCACGAAACAGAGTGGAGGAGCTTCTGAAGAGCTCCTGGATTGTGCTGCAGGCCATACCTTTAATATTTTGTCATCATAACTGAATTCTCTTAATTTCTGGAAAACATATCATTGGATTTTCTGGAAAGTGCTGCAATACAGACACGCAAAATGGAGACTGTGGCTGTGTGTCCTGCAAACACAGTGGAACATGTCACAGTCCCATTGCTCCTTTATTTAACCTCAGAGTCACTGCACAGCTGTGCTGCCAACACTGCTGCTTATGGGGCCCTGCAGCAAAGTCCCCTGCTGGAAATCCAAACTGAGCAATGGGAACCTCTGTGGGAAGGAGAGGACTTGGCTCTTCCCCTGTGCCTCCCTTTTCTTACCTACCAAGTGCTAAGCCAGGCTGAAGGGAAGGAGAAGGGTTGGCTTGAGGGGATAGAGGGCACCCTGAGCCAGGTCACAGACAATGCTAGGTGGGGTGGGAGGGCAGGAAGGCTCTGCAGAGGGACCAGGACAGGCCAGGGCCATGTGCCAAGGCCAGTTGTCTGAGGTTCAACAGGGTGAACAGCTGGGTCCTGTCCTTGGCTCACAAGGACTGTCCCTGCAGTGCTACAGGCTGGGGCACAGGGACTGGAAAGCTCCCCAGCAGAAAGGGACCTGGGCAGCAGCTGAACATGAGCCCAGGTGTGCCCAGGTGGGCAGGAAGGCTGATGGCACCTGGGCTGTCCCAGCAATGGTGTGGCAGCAGGACCGGGGCAGTGATCATCTGTGGGCACTGCTGAGGCCACACCTCAAACCCTGGGGGCAGCTTTGGGCTCCACACAACAAGGAAGACATGGAGTGCAGGGGAGGTTTAGGGTGGATATTAGGGAAAATCTGTCCCCTGAAAGGGTTGTCCAGCTCTGGCAGAGGCTGCCCAGGACAGTGGTAGAGTCCCCATCCCTAGGGAGATTAAAAAGTCGTGTGGATGTGGCACCTGGGGACATGGGTTAGTGGTTGGACACAATGACCATAAGGGTCTTTTTCAGCCTCAACAATTCTCTGATTCTGTAATGGGAGAGAACAATTCACCAACTGCCCTTGCTCACAGCTCCTCACTAGGCTGAATAACCAACATCAAACCATGGGTAGGTGACTCTGCTGTATGGCCAGACTGAAGCAGGTCTGTACATACACACTGCCTATCAGGTTCTTATCTGTGCAGCTGGTTTTGCACAGCTGTCATAGGAAAGTTTCAAGGAAATTAGAGAGATACTGAGGATTGAGAATTCAGCCAATAAACAGAATCTGTGATTCTAAATTCTATACATACAGAGAATATAAATTTCCACAGAAGCAGGTCAGTAAGTAAAGCATTCTTGCCAAAATAGCTAAACATTAATTCTCTATTAATAATCAAGTACACAAAAGAAAATTTACCAAGCTTATTTCAGTACACAAAATGATTTTCTTGGGTGTATATTCTACACTTGAGCTTTGCCCCAGTGAAGTGCTCTGACACACAGATTGTCTGTGTTCACCCAGTGCCAGGGCACTGCAGGATGATGGCTCAGGCACAGCTCAGTACTCGCAGTGACCACATGGCAAAAGCATTTGCTGAATGCAGCTCAGGTATCTGCACAGCCACTGCTGGGGATGCCTGTCTGAATAGAGCCAACCTGAACAGAAATACACATGCAACTATTTATTGCTGCTTGTGACAAGATTTAATTTGCATTAAATAAAGAGGGAATTGAACTTGTACACCTTTCCCTATCAACTACTGCTTTTGTTAACTTCCTTTAGGCCCTTATGCTTATAAGACATTTGTAAGCTAAAATTCGATGGCCATGCTCACCTTCACGTACCCTCACCACTCCTGACACCTCTGAACAGCCCCAGCTCCCAAACTGCAGCAACTGCACCTGTGGGTGGAGAGCAAGGGTGGATTTCTGGCAGGTCAGGGAGAGCTGAAGGACATCAGCACTGAGCACCAACACTGAGCCAGAGGAACAAGGCTGAGGCCATGAGCAGCAGGGGGGGTGTGACCTCTGTCTCCCTCTGCTCCCCAGGATGTGTCAGGGGAGGTTCCAGCAGGTGAAGAGCAGCAGGTTTTGTGCAGCATCATGGCCTGAACAAATCCTGCTCTGAACTTCTTGGGCATAGACCTTCCATACAGGATCCCACTGAAACACCAACATCTAATTTTACATGCAAGCTACATCAAAGGCTGCTTCTTCCCTAAATAGAGAAATAATTTGAAGACTTGCCAGTGTTGCTCATGAGTTGAAATAGAGGCTGGTAACAAGAGGCTGCACAGGTCATGATGACTTGGGAGCTGGAGGAGCTGAGGAGTCTCCCCAAGGCAGGACATCCCCGGGAGGCAGTGCTGGTGAGCGAGCAGCACAAGGGGAATACCCAGAGCCTGAATTGCACAGAGGGGCTGTCATCGATGGCACTGCCAGGGCTGCACCCCACGGCTCCTCATCCACTGCTCTGGCACAAACACTCCTGATTTCCCATCCAACTTTCTTCCTGCCTCTCATTAAGACCAAAATTTGCAGAGCAGATTTCAGCTTTTATAGAACCCACTGTGCTTTCTAAAGATCCACCTTGTCTTCCAGTCAACTGAAATAACACTTTCTGTCTATGGCTCCTGGGGTTGTTTTCCATTTTTATTTTTTAAAAATTTATTTAGATCTTGCAATGCTTATTTCTCAGCCAGACTGTCAGGGATGTTAATGAGATTTATCCTCACAGTCTCTCTCACTCTCTGCCCCCTTTCATTCTTTGACACACAAGTGCTTTTATGTTGCAGGAAATGAGGACAACAGAAAGCTGCAGATCCCATGAATGTAAAAATTGTCTTGAAGGCATGGAACAATCCAGCCCTAATTACAGCCAGCTGGAGCCTGCTCTCTTTGCACTGATACTTAGATAA